TCCCATTATGAACAGTAATTTGTGCCTATATTTTGTTTTAGCCCCTGAACTTTTTTGTTTGTGGATTTCGGCACTTAAGGTTTTTCCCATCTTAAAAATTTGGTCATTCTACTTTGAACAGTAAACTTTTTCACCCTTGGTTTTTGCCTTCTTTTATTTTTTTCAATACGGATGAGTACATACATAAATCATATGTCCATGTGTTTCATCATTGGTCCTCCACTTTTTCTCCACCGTCTCTCTCGCCACTTATTTTTATCCATTTTTGGCTTTCACTGTCAACCTGCCTTACTTCCTATCGCTTTCAGGTTTTATATATGTCGGTTAAGTAAGACATTATTTCCTTTCTACGTTCCTATCAACAAGGCCTAAAACCACCCAACTACCGATTATACCCTCCGATTCATCTCCATCTTCTCCAGATCCTCGATTAGGGCTTCTCTCCACCTTGATCCTCTGCTGCTTGTGAATCTTGGGAGATGTTTTTGTTTTCCTGAACTGATCACGGACCTGCTTTGGAAGACGACCCTCACAACACCAAAGCACCTTGCTTCATATTGCTTTCCAACGATTTCAGAAGTTTGATTAGGTCCGGTTCTCTTATTTCATGGGTTTGATTTCAGAAGTTAGCAAATCCCAAGTAAGTTCATCCTTTGCACTGTATAGTGATTTCGATTTATGTGGTTTCGATTTATGAGCAAATCTGGGTTTGATTTCGATTTATGTGGTTTCGATTTGTTGTTTGTCTGATTTCAATTTGCAGTTTATCTGATTCTTCCAAGTGATTTCAATTTGTAGTGTCTGGTACTGCTACTGTTGATTTCGATTTCATCACACATCTTTTCTTTAGATTTTTAGCGAAGCTAACTTACCAGTACTGCAGCAGTATTAATAGGGTTTACAAACCACTAAATCCAATCTATGTTCTAATTTCTTGACCTTTTAATGCAATAAAACATTGAATGGATGTTATGGGATTCCATATGTTCACTACAAGGGTCGGCAGGGTGACTTTTATATTCTGGCAAGTTTTGACTTTTTTACCCCTGGATATAGCAAGTTGCTTATTTTTAGGCATGAAATGAAAAAAATGAATCTTTTTTAGGTGATGCACATGCTTGGACCAAGTCTTTGGGATGTTTGGAATTCTTTAGGCTAATCGTAAGACTCTCTCTGTGATTTTACACAAACACACCATTTTAGCAAATTAAATATTTTTTCAAATGATTAATCATTTTCTTTTTGCAGGAATCATCAAGTATGGCAGCTTGCATTGTTGTTGAGGCAATATCAATTCTTTAAAAGCTTCATGTAAAGCGGTGAGATAAGATTTGCTCACTTTTTATGGTTTGACGCATAATTTATATACTTTTTTTAAACCTGATTATCTCTCTCTCTCTCTCTCTCTCTCTCTCTCTCTCTCT